AGAGGATTAACCTAGTGAGCCATGGCACCAGCCCCTTGGGCCATCCTCCACTGCTATCCCAGGCCATAGCAGAGAGTTGGATCAGATGTGGAGCAGCTGGGACTCGAGTAGCAGCCCATAAGGGATTTCAGCACTACAAGCAAGGGCTTTACCCACTATGTCGCAATGCCAGTCCAAGATTTATTTTATTTATTTGAAAGAGTCACAGGGAGAGGGAGAGAGAGAGATCTTCCATCCCCTGGTTCACTCCCAAATGGGGCTAAGCCAGACCAAAGCCAGGAGCCAGGAACCTCTGGATCTCCCATGTGGGTACAGCGACCCAAGTACTTGGGCCGTACTCTGCTGTTTTCCCAGGCACATTAACAAAGAACTGGATCAGAAGTGGAACAGCTGGGACACAAACTGGTGCCCATATGCAATGCTAGCATCTCAGGCAGCAGCTTTATCTGCTACGCTACAATGCTTGTCCCCTCCTCCCTTTTTTTTTTTTTTCCTTTAAGATTTTTACTTATTCAAAAGGCAGAGTTACGAAGAGAGAGAGAGAGAGAGAGAGAGAGAGAGAGATCTTACATGTACTGGTTCATGTGGGGTGCATCTTCCACTGCTTTCCTGGTACTTTTGCAGGGAGATGGATCAGAAGTGGAGCAGCTAGAACTTGAACCACTACCCAGCATCACCAATGGTGGCTTATCCAGATCTCTACTTTTTTTTTTAAGGTTTATTTATTTATTTGCAAGTCAGAGTTACACAGAGAAAGGAGAGGGAGAGAGAGAGAGAGAGGGAGAGGGAGAGGGAGAGGGAGAGGGAGAGGGAGAGGGAGAGGGAGAGGGAGAGGGAGAGGGAGAGGGAGAGGCAGAGAGATCTTCCATCCGATGGTTCACTCTCCAATTGGCCGCAACGGCTGGAGCTGTGCCAATCTGAAGCCAAGAGCCAGGAGCTTCTTCTGGGTCTCCCACATGGGTGCAGGGGCCCAAAGACTTGGGCCATCCTCCACTGCCCTCCCAGGCCATAGCAGAGAGCTGAATTGGAAATGGAGCAGCCAGGTCTCGAACCGGCCCCCATATGGGATGCCAGTGCTTCAGGCCAGGGCATTAACCCACTGCACCACAGCGTCGGCCCCCAGATCTCTACTTCTACAGAGATTCCCAAAGAGATTGAAAAGGAAGAGCAGGCAGCTATTGAAAAAGCTGTGACTAAGGAAGAATTTCAGCATGAATGGACTGCCCCAGCTCCTGAGTTTACTGCTACTCATACTGTGGTTGCTGACTTACCTGAAGGTGTGCAGGTGCCCTGTGTGCCTATTCAGCAACTCCCCACTGAAGACAAGAACCCTCAGCCTGCCACTGAAGACTGGGCTGCAGCTCCCACATCTCGGCCACAGCATGCATGGGAACAACCACTGAGTGGCCTTGAGCTGCTCTTCAGTCTCTAAAGCAAAATGGAAATGAGGTGAACAGAAAACACCAGATTCTTTTCTTTTCTTTTTTTCTTTTCCTTTTTTTTTTTCTCTGGTCATGGCTTTACTTTGTGTGTGATCGCCGACAGGCAGAGTGGACAGTGAGAGAGAGAGACAGAGAAAAAGGTCTTCCCTTTTCCATTGGTTCACCCCTCAGTGGCCGCCGCGGCCGGCTTGCTGTGGCCAGCGTACCACATTGATCCGAAGCCAGGAGCCAGGTACTTCCCCTGGTCTCCCATGCAGGTGCAGGGCCCAAGCACTTGGGCCATCCTCCACTGCACTCCCTGGCCACAGCAGAGAGCTGGCCTGGAAGAGGGGCAACCAGGACAGAATCCGGCGCCCTGACCGGGACTAGAACCCTGTGTGCTGGCACCGCAGGTGGAGGATTAGCCTATTGAGCCACGGCGCCAGCCTCCAAACCCCAGATTCTAAGGAAAGAAGGGAAGGAAAGAAGAGAAAAGAAAAGCAGACATGCTCTATATGTTATTGAGGTGTAGTTGATATACAATAAACTGCACATATTTAAAGTATAGAGTTTGAGGAGTTTTGACATGTGTGTACACCCATGAAAGCATCATTGTCATCAAGATGACAAACAGGTCTGTCACCCACAAAAGTCTCCTCCTGCCTTTCTGCAGCACTTCCCTCCTTTTCAGGCCTACGCCCCTTGAACTTCAAGCAACTGTTGCTATGACCTCTATCACCAAGGATTTGTTCGCATTTTCCACAGTTTTATATAAATGGAACCAAGCAATGAATCCCCTTTCCTTTGATCAGGCTCCTTTCACTCACCGTAATTATTTTGATGTTCGTCAGTGTCATCATATGTATCAATAATGCATGGTTTGGAGCTGGCACCATGGCATAGCAGGTAAAGCCACTGCCTGCGGTGCCGGCATCCCATATGGACCCCGGTTCAAGTCCCGGCTGCTCAACTTCCAATCCAGCTCCCTGCTAATGGCCTGGGAAAACAGTAAGAAGATGGACTGAGTGCATGGGCCCTACACCCACATGGGAGACCCAGAAGAAGCTCCTGGCTCTTGGCTTTGGATCAGCCCGGCTTTGGCCTTTGCTGCCATTTAGGGAGTGAATCAGCAGATAGAAGATCTGTGTGTTTGTGTGTGTGTGTGTGTGTGTGTGTCTGTGTGTCTGCGTGTCTCTGCCTCTCTTCTGTGGCTCTGTCTTTCAAATAAATAAATAAATATTTTTTAAAAAGTAATGCATGGTTTTTTGCGGTTGTTGCTCAGTAATATTCCACTGTGGAAATGTACAATAATTTGTTTTCCTTTTCTATATGAATTGACATTACAGGTTTTTTTTTTTCCAGTTTGGGACTAATATAAATAAAGTTGCTATGAATATATATGTGTGAGTCTTTAAATGGATGTAATATTCACCTTTTGGTAAATACCTATGAGTGAATGGCGGGATCATATGGTATATACACTTTAAAAAATTAGGAGTGAGTGTTTGGTACAGCAGTGAAGACGCCACAAGGGATGCCCACATTCCATCGTGGTGTGCCTGGGTTTGAGTTCCAACTCCACCACTCCCCATCCCAGCTTCCTGCTAATGTGCACCCTGGGAGACAGCAGATGTTGGCTCAAGTACCTGGGTCCCTGTCATTCATAAATGAGAGCTGGATTGAGTTCCTGGCTCCTGGTTTCAGTCTGGCCAGTCCTGGTGGTTGCAGACATCTGAGAAGTGAACCAGCATATAGAAGATCTCTGTCCGTCTGTCTTTGTGTCCCTGGCTGTCTGCATTTCAAATAAGTGAAAATAAATTTTTTTAAAAAAAATTACCAAATGTTTCCCAAAGTTTTTCGCACTTTACATTTCCACCAGCAGTGGGTGAGAGTTCTGTTCCTTCCACATCCTCACCAACATGTTGTGATCAGTCTTTTTAGTTTCGGCCATTACAAGAGGAGTGTTGCAGCATCACACTGGTTTTAGTTATGATGTGGAGTTCTAATAATGTGTTTATTTGCCATCACATGTCTTCCTGAGTGATACGCCCTGGTGTCTTGTCTAGCTTTTGTGTTCTGAGATTTCTTTATATTCGGGGCATATAAATCCCATTTCAGATATGTGCTTTACAAAGATCTAGTCCTAGTAGGTGGTTTGCCTTTTAATTCTCTTAGCAATATCTTTTAAAGAGCAAAAGTTTTTGATATTGATGATGTCCCATTTGTTTTTCCTCTTATGCTTTATGCTGTTGGTGTCATTTTTTATGATTTTATTTATTGATTTGAGAGGCAGAGTTACAGACAGATTGAGGGAGAGACAAAGAGAAAGGTCTTCTATCAGCTGGTTCACTCCCCAAATGGCCACAACCACTGCAGTTGAGCCATTCCAAAGCCAGGAGCTAGGAGCTTCTAGGTCTCTCACATGGGTTCAGGGGCCCAAGCACTTGGGCCATCTTCCACTGTTTGCACGGGCACAGCAGAGAGCTGAATCAGAAGAGGAGTAGCCAGGACATGAACTGGGGCCCATATGGGATGCGGGCACCATAGGCAGAGGCTTAACCAACTATGCCACAGTGCCAGCCCCTGTTGGTGTCACTTCTAAGAAATCTTGCCTAACCCCAGATCACACAGATTTTCTTCACATTTACTTCTAGAAGCTTTGTAGTTTTAGGTTTTACATTTAGATCTGTCATCCACTTTGACTTATTTTTGCAAATTATTGAGTATGACTGAATTCTTTTTTCTTTTTTTTCTTTTGCTTTTTTCCCATGTATATGGATAACCCATTGTTCAGAAAGCATTGATTCAAAAAGATTATCCTTTTTTTTCTTTTTTTGACAGTCAGAGTTAGACAGTGAGAGAGAGAGAGAGAGAGAGAGAGAGAGAGAAAGGTCTTCCTTCCGTTGGTTCACCTCCCAAATGGCCCCCACGACTGGCGCGCTGCACCGATCCGAAGCCAGGAGCCAGGTGCTTCCTCCTGGTCTCCCATGTGGGTGCAGGGCCTAAGAACTTGGGCCATCCTCCACTGCACTCCCGGGCCACAGCAGAGAGCTGGACTGGAAGAGGAGCAACCGGAACAGAATCCAGCGCCCCAACCGGGACTAGAACCCAGGGTGCCAGTGCCACAGGCGGAGGATTAGCCTAGTGAGCTGCAGCGCCAGCCTCAAAAAGATTATCTTTTATTTCAGTGCTGTGTTGTTGATTCTTGTGGCTTAAATTGTGTCCCCAACCCCCCCAGACATGTTGACCTAACCCCAGTATTCGTGAATGTGAGCTTATTTGGAAATAGGGTCTTTGTTTAGATGTAATCTAGTTAAGATGAGATTATGTTGGAGTAGGATGGTCTCCAACCCAGTGATTGGTTTCCTTATAAAAAAGGAGGTTTGTACACTGAGCTAGAGGTGCAGAGAACACCAGATGACAAAGGATGCAAAGACTGGAGGATACATCCACAAAGAGTATCAAAGATTCCGGCAGTAACCAAAACCTAGGCAAACATGGGATGGAGTCCCCCTCTGATATCATGAAGGAGCTAATGCTGTCAACACCTTGACTTCAGGTTTGTGGCCTCCAGAACTATAAGAGAATAAATGTATGTCGGTTTTTTTAAAGATTTATTTATTTGAAAGAGTTACACAGAGAGAGAAGGAGAGGTAGAGAGAGAGAGAGTCTTCCATCCACTGGTTCACTTCCCAATCAGCCCAATGGCCAGAGCTGTGCCGATCTGAAGCCAGGATCCAGGACCTTCTTCCAGGTTTCCATGCAGGTGCAGGATCTCAAGGACTTGGGTCATCTTCTACTGCTTTCCCAGGCCACAGAAGAGAGCTGGATCAGAAGTGGAGCAGCTGGGACTTGAACCCGTGCCCATAGGGGATAGTGGCACTGCAGGTGGCAGCTTTACCCGCTACACCACAGCGCCAGCCCCCATGTATGTAGTTTTAAGTCATGCAGTTTGTAGTAGTTATGGCCACCCTAGGATATATAAATATAGAATAAACATAAATCTATGTAATGTGGTTTTCAATTTATTTTAACATAAAAAAAATTAATGTGAGCCCTTTAAGTACCCTTGCCACTTGGACTGAATCCATGCTCCACCCCCCCCCCCCCGACACACACACACTTTTACCTTTAATTAACTAATGTGTTCATTTTGTGGGACTTGTTTTTGTTTGTTTCAGGTCAGCCGTGACTCAGGGCAGGCACGCATAGCGAGGGCCTCTGCATATGCCACGCTCGTCTGGCAGGTCCCAGGCAGCAGTCCTCTCTTGATTTGGCAGCGTGTGAGCAGCTCGCTCACTGTTGCAGGCAGGGGGTAGGGGAGAATGAATCACCAGATGGCTGAGAAGAGACACTTCCATTCATGTGACTCCACTGACGTGGGCCACGCAGAGAGGTCGCAGACAGTGGAGAGAGGCTTGCGCTTGCTGGCGACAGCACTAAGGACCCGTTGGTCCCCGGGCGTGACAGCAGAAGGGTAGCGCTCTGAGAGGCGCTTTGCAGTCTGCTTCAACACCCAGCAGATGGCCCACGCCGGCGGATCCCCCTTGCCACGACTCCGCGGGTGGCGGGCTGCACTGCAAAGTGGAAGAATTAACCTTCAAAGAGCAGGCAGTGTGGCTTCCTTCTGTCTCCCCACGTGACGTTGCTCGGCTGCCTCGGGAAGCTGACCTATTCCTCTCGGTGTCCTGCCAGGCCCATTTGCAGCGAAGTTCTCTCGCCCTAATTGCTATTCGTCCCTGGTCTACTGAGGGGCACAAGCCGGCCAGCCTAGTGTTTACCTCCAGGATTAGCCTCATCAACCTCAAATTTTTACATTTGCCAGTGACCTCCTGGGACTCTGACTGATGGACTATATGATGGCTGGTACAAGATGAGATTCTCAAATGAGAAGCATTATCTGAGCATGAATATTAATTACACCCAAGATGCACACAGGGCCTCATCAGCATTCTCTGGGCTGAAATCCCTGCTGCCAAGCTGCAGGGTTTAGGAGCAGGAATGGAGAAGAAATGGCCAGCTCTCATGTATGGGGGCCCAGTGCTAGGCACTTTCACACATGTTACTATATTAAACAGTAAGCAAGCACAGGCGTGAAGCCAGACAGGGAAACAGAGGCTGTGTGTGTGTGTGTGTGAAGTAACTCCCCTTCGATGTGGATGCCATCAGCTCCTCTGAGAATAGGAACACATATAATGATTTCTGGAAGTAGGCATTTGTCCTAGTGGTTATGACATCCCTGTGCCATATCGGAGTGCCCGGGTTCAACTCCCAGCTCCAGCTCCTGACTCCAGCTGCAGACCCTAGGACACAGCAGACATGGATCAAGTTATTGTGTCCCTGCCATCCATGTGGGAGACCTGTGTTAAGTTCTTGGCTCCTGGCTTTAGCCCCAGCCCAGCCTCAGCTATTGTGGGCATTTGGGAAACAAACTAGGAGATGCAAACTCTCTTTCTCTCTGCCACTCAAATAAATAAATAATTTTAAATGATCTCTGGAAATTATTAACCATTGATTGTTGATATTCCTCCTATACCTTCAGCTCTTGGAAACTGGAAATTGATCTTTACAGGGGCAACAAAATCAGCTAAGGACACCTACTGCGAATTCCCTGAGCCACAGTGTGTAGTCACACTTTAAACGCTCCGCTCACATGTTCTTTCCTGAAAGCATAATTTCACTACAAGATGGAAATAATTGTTTAAAATTCAATGGCATTGGATAGGACTGTGTTGGCAGGACCTTCTATAAGCCAGGTTATGCGTCTCTCAAAAAAGCAAGACACCCTTTTCAGAGGACACTGGTTGCTTTCCTGCCATATTTCACAATATGTCCCATCCCTACAAAAAGCTACAAACATTCTGTAAACTCACTCAGCACATCCAGATTCCCACATGGATCGAAGCATATGCCATGTACATCCCAGGCACATTTGGCAAACAGATTATTGATGGGGCTTGGCAGAGAAGTCTTGATCAGGGTTTTTAGTCACAGTCTCTGTGGCAGCACCCACTGTGCCACTGAGCAGGTAAAATGAACAATAATATACCCAACTTGGAAGGTCAACCCCTGCTCATATTTCTAATTATTAAGTACACCACCATGGAGGACCTCCTGGGAGCAGCCTCCCGCTGTGAAGATGGACTGCTCATTATTCAAAGTTGTCCTTTTGTTGGAGTCAACAGTGCAGCACAAGTGAAAATCCTGTTGCTATCCTTAACTACAGCATCCCCTTTTGGAAGAAAAGAGGCTGAGGGTTTTTAGTTTCTCGCAGCAGAAGGCAGGTCCTGGTTCCTTCTCTGTTTGCTTCAGTGACATCCTGGCTCTTAGGACTCATTGATAAATCTTGAGAGACTTCACTAAATTCAGCTGTATTAAGAATTCATCCTTTAGCAGCACCTTCATAGATGTGTTTTCTTTCTGACTAAACATTTTCCTTATGAGGGAAAAGCAAATGATGGGAACCTCCCATTTCATCTGAAAGAGAAAATGGAAAAATGAATTTGAAGTTGCAGAAATAGAAATAGAAATTCACAGCATAGAATTGTCTGTAGGTTTCTTGCTAGCCAAAGATGGACCAGTCTTAGAAATGCCAATACAGGAGAAACAACACCATCTAAATGAGGTTCACATGCATCAGATTACTTAAATGTCCTTGGTCAAGTTTTCTAATAAGGCCTAAGTGTATAAGCTAGATAAATAGCAAGCTTAAGTAGATAAATTGTTTTTATATCCACTATAATATCTAACACACTTGGGAACCTAAATTATTGAATACTAATCATAAGACTATTCAAAGGATAGCCATAGATCCTATATCTTTGCTTATAAATAGCATCATTTAACAGGGTATGTGCTCAGAATTTGCTTAACAATGTATTCAGTTATCTGGTCAAATTCCAACCTGCAGGGGAGAATTCCCCTTTCCCAGACTGAAAAGAATGATGGTACCAGTGTGTAGAAACTCAACCAAAGAAACCTGCCTTTTACTGTAGTAGTCACCAGGGTAGTCACAGACATTCCTCTGTTATGGGCTTCACATCTGTGTCCCCTAAAATTTCTATGTTAAAACCCTAACCCCAGTGTGGTCATAGTAGGAGGTGGGGCTTCCGGGAACTAATTAGGTTTAAATGAGACCAGGAGGGTGGAACCCCCCATGATGGGAGGACTGTCCTTATAAAAATAGAAAGCTGGCTCTCTTGGCCATGTGAGGACACAGCAAGAGAGCAGCTGTGTAGGAGCCAGGAAAAGAGCCCTCCCCAGGAACCAAATCTGCTCATACTCTGACACTTCGCAGCCCCCAACTCTAGTCCCTACATGGGTGTGTAAGCCTCCCAGTCTGTGGTATTCTGTTGTAGCTGCTCCAACTGACTGAGACATCTTCCCTCCCTGGACACAGCAGGATTGCTCTTTCCCACCCCCTACAGCTAGACATGGCTATGTGACTCCACGCGGCTCAGAGATGACAATGAGCCTCTGGAGCCCGTCAGAATGCAAGGTGCCTTCCCCCTGCTTCAGCAACCCTTAAAGTCTGGGCGGGACAGACCCTCTGCTGCTTGGGTCTCGGAGTGAGCACACTCTGAGGGGTCCCATGGCTACCGGTAGCCTAAGGGAGGAGTGACAGCTGTGACGTGACAGACATTAACTCCTATAATGTTAAGCCACTGAGATTTTTGACTTTTTAGTTCCTGTCTCGTAATTTAGCTTACTTGACTAATGCCGCAACAATTGCTAACTTCTCTGAACAAACTAACCAACTAGTATGACTGGTATGAATAGAAAGATAACCACTGGGGTCGGCGCTATGGTGTAGCGGGTAAAGCCACCGCCTGCAGTACCAGCATCCCATGTGGGTGCCAGTTCGAGGCCCAGCTGCTCCACTTCTGATCCAGCTCTCTGCTATAGCCTGGGAAAGTCCTTGGGCCCCTGCACCTATGTGAGAGACCCAGAAGAAGCTCCTGGCTCCTGGCTTCAGATCAGCAGAGCTCTGACCATTGTGGCTAACTGGAGAGTGAACCAGTGGATGGAAGATCTCTCTTTCTCTCTCTTGCCTCTCCTTCTCCCTGTGTGTAACTCTGAATTTCAAGTAAATAATTAAATCTTTTTAAGAAAAGAATGATAAGTACTGATGGCAATCAAAAATACATGATCGAGGGCTGGCATCTGGCAGCAGTGGTTAGGCCACCACTTGAGATGCCCACACACCATACTGGGGTGCTTGAGTTCGAGTCCCAGACCCCCCGTCTCCTCTGGCCACCTGCTCATGCACATCTCAGGAGACAGCAGGAGATGGCTCAAGTACTTGGTTTTCAGCCATCTAAATGAGAGACCGAGATTGACTTCAGCTCTGGCTCCTTAGCTTCCCCAGCTGTTGCAGGCATTTAAGTGAACCAATGGATAGAACATTTCCCTCCCTCCCTCCCTCTCTCTCTCTCTCCTCTCTGCTTTTCAAAGAAATAAAAATAAATTTTACATGCTTTCATTTTTTTTATTTTTTTAAATTTTCTTTTATTTATTTTGAAAGTCAGAGTTAGAGAGAGAGTGAGATAAAGAGAGATTTCCATCCACTGGTTCACTTCCCAGAGGTCAGCAACAGCCAGCACTGGGTCAGGCTGAAGCCAGGACCCAGGAGCTTTACTCTGGGCTCCCACCTAGGCAGTAGGTCCATCTCCTGCTGCTTTTCCCAGGCCACTAGCAGGGAGCTGGGTTGAAAGTGGAGCAGCCAGGACACAATGGCATCCCATTGTCCCAGACAGTGGCTTTACCCACTACACCACAACACTGGTCCCTAAAATGTTTTCTTTAAACAAACAAATGCATGTTTCTCAGTTGTACTTTTCTTTCACGACCAAGAACGAATTTCATTCAAAAATTTATCTCCTTCTATTTCTAATCAAGATTAACACCACACATTTTTGCAGTTAGAGACATAAGACAGCACTGTGGTCAATGTCCTTCTCGCCTATCGAAAGCGCACTCATCCTCCAAGCTGCAGCTCACTGAAGGTTTCTGATCAGAGGGTTCCTCCCTCCTCAGAGCTGTCAGCTGCAGAGTTTTCACCCTTTACAGAACTCAGTACAGTCACTGGTGTTGTAGCCATTGTGTGCCTGGCTGCCTAGAGTCCTCCACTCTCTGGACTCAACATCTTGAGGTGTCTGAGAGATGCAGTGTGATAACCAAGCGTGCCTTCTTATTCCTGGAGCAATGTCTGTCTTGAGTTCCTGACTCCTCTCATTTCAAGTGAGCTACTCTGGAGACATTGGAATGGATCATACAAAGTCCTGCTTTTGTGTTTTCCTGAGATGAGTGCAAACCTAAGCTACCTGTTTCTTGCAGTCTCTTCTCTCTTGTGCTTCAGTTTCACGCGAGTTACAGTAGAACCCAAGCCAGGGGATCCTCCAACACCACTAAAAGGCAGAAGAGCAAATGGGTCCACTTCATCATATAAAATGCCCCCACCTCTCCCTCTGAAATGAATGATCATATGACTTGTGTTGCAATCATACTTCTAATCTGGGGACGCCTGAATTTAACTTAAGAGAGAAGAATAGGAAACCAATGCTTTTCTTCTCTTTGCTTCCTTCTTGGGAACACAGTGCTTCTTGTCCTATTGGTTTTGTCAGCATTTGTCGGTGTGTTTATGGAACGTGTGCTTGAATAGTGTCCTCCCAAAATGTATGTCATTTCCAGAACTTCAGAATGTGACCTTATTTGGCAACAAGGTCATTGCAGATGCAATTATTTGGAATGAGGTCATACCGGAGTAGAGTGAGTCTCTAATCCAATCTTCACTGGTGCCCTTATAAGAACAGAAAAAGAGAGGAAGGATAAACAGGCACAGCATTTGAAAATGGAAGCAAAGATTGGCATTACACTTCAGAAAGCCAAGGAATTCCAAGAAGTGCCCAAAACAAGAGGCTAGGAAGGGGTATAAACAGATTATCCCTCCAAACGTCCAAGAACGAACCAATGCTATTGACACCTTGATTGATTGATTGATTTTTTTTTTTTACTTCTGGCATCAGAATCGAGAGAATACATTCTTGATGTTTTAAGCCATGAATTCGTGGCACTAGGAAACTCATACAGGGTCTTCTTTCAGCTGTCTCTTTTGTACCACTTCTCACTCCCTTTGGCATTCTGAAGCTGAGTCCTTCTACAATAGTCCCACACAGGCCTGCACTCTAAACTCGGGAGCTTTCTAGGCCTCTTACCTGAGTTGAGTCAAGTAGGGCATGAGGCCTGAATGTGTCTTCCTCTAAATGAAAGTTCATCAAGATCAGAAGCAATTTCTCATTCCCCACGTAATCTCTCTTCGAACACCTTCCCCACAGCAACTGGCTCACAGCAACGCCTCAAGAAAGTCACAGAACTAACACTGGGCATCACTCCTGCTCCTCTGGCACCTCTCATTTCACACGAACAGTGATTCAGAACAACTAAGTTACTAAGACTGTAAGTGTTGGCTCTCTTCATGCGATCACTAAACAATAAACCAGGCCACTTTTGCAGTCAGGCAGAATTGCTTCATCCTTACATGGATGTCATGCTCCGCTAGTGCTGTTCCCTTGGAGGACTGCATCATGGCAATCAAATGAGCAGCCAATCACCAGAACCAGGTGGTGGGTGTTGAAAGTAACAGAACATCAACAATCATGAAGACATAAAGAGAAATCTAAGGCCTAAGAGACAAAAGTTAAAAGCTAAAGTCACTCTGGGGTAGGTGTTGTGACACAGCAGGTTAAGCCACCGTGTGGGACACCTGCATCCCCTATCAGAGTGACTCAAATAGAGTTTTGCTTTGGCTTCCAATCCAGCTTCCTACTAACGTGTGCTCTGGGAAGGCAGCAGGCAATGCCTCATACACTTGGGTTCTGCCACCCACTTAAAGGTCCCAGATGGAGCTCCTGGCTCCTGACTTTGGCCTGGCTCAGTCTTGGCTGCTGTGAACATTTGGGGAGTGAACAGTAGACTTCAATCTCCCTCTCGCTTGCGCTCGCTTGCTCGCTCGCTCTCTCTCTGCTTTTCAAATAAATAAAAATAAAATAATTGAGCATTTAAGAAAATAAAACTGCCTTGGTAATCCGAGGGCCATGTCCACAGAGCCATGTCTCCAATGAGTGTGTACACGCACTGTACCTGCAACAAACCTTCTGTTTGTCCATTTGTATTCATCTCAATGAGCTGGCGCACAGATGAGGTACCTACTGGCTGCCACACACATCCACTTTCCTTCCAAGCACAAGGTAAAGCCAATTTTCTTGTTTTGGCTAGAAAGGAATTCTCATTACCTAAGAACTAGCACATTTCAGTCTCATGAGAACTAAGTTTCTCTGGTTGGAATGCAACCAAAACACAGATTTCTGCTTCCAACACAGAGAAAAAGCCAATTTCAGTTTTCCCAAACCATTTTATGCCTGGGAGGTCCTGCAGCCAACCCTGTCATTTGAAATCATATCCCTTATAGGCAAACAAAT